TATTTTTATTATCATAAATAGAATTATTATATTTATTATAACGAAATTTAAGAATATGTAACAATATGCAAGAATATATAAGAATATTTTAAGAATATATAAAAATTTTGCCTATCCCTACTGTAGACCTCCCACAAAAACATTAATCAATGAATCTACCCCTAGCGGGACTTAAACCTAATCTAAAATTTCTCTAACCCCTAACCTTAACATCCCAATTGGTTAAAAATACAAGGGGGGTAAAATTTTTTGTGGTATAGCTACCATATATTTAATTTACTAATACATCACGAAGTTTGTATATCATGGGTAATTTGTTGATGACACAATGAATCACAGGAATAATCAAGTACAAGTCACTCTCATTATAGTGAAGTTTAAGAAATTTTTCTCAAAACCAGTCTATAAAAAATTCTCTTGATATAGTGAATTTACTAATAAACTCTCAATATAGTAAATTTTTAAAAAAATTTTATTAATAGTCCTGACTACTTCTCTATAACAAGAGTTGCTTGTATTTCTATATAAGGGTATAAGATACAAATTTGGGTCTTCTACTTTTACAATCGATTAAGTCGTTCAATATTATTGTGGTAAAAACAATGGAGTTAATGATTTATTATGAACAATCGGTATCAAAGAGGATAATTTACTTGAGAACAGCTTCTACTATTATAATTTCAAAGTTTTAAACTCAACAAAGTTATCCTTTATTAGCATGAAAATGTATGGCCTTTTTATAGTTTTTACATTGCTATGGCTCAAATGGCCAATTTACTAATTCTATTGTTCTAACAAGTTCTCTTCATCCAAAAGGTCAAGAAAATCAAATATATAAATATATCAGATTTATTTGATTTTCAAAATCTTTTCGACCTTCAAATCCATTTATACAAGTAATAATCTTCATTTGTTACTTTTTTAGAGAACTATAGTATAATATTAGATTCTAACTATGTTGAGTACATATATATAGTAATAGCAGGTAAAAATAAAATGAAATATTAGAAAAAAAAAATAATGAAAAAATAATACTGGGTTATGAGAGCCCCTCACAATGTACATATGTTCATAGAATCTCTTTAAATAAACCTTTTCATCTTGTATTTCATTAATTGTTCTGTGCTTTATAGGTTTCTATTTTTCTGATTTGTAAATTGTAGATATAACTAAATTGTAAATAAAGTATGTATGGACAATATTACATGTATTTAGCAGGAATGCATTATCATTATCTTTTTTTTTTTAATAAAGTATAGCTTAGGATAGATTATATAATAGCTTCTTTTTTAAATTTTTTTTTAAAACTATGTAATATACTTAACTATCTTTAGTAAGTATGAAAATCATTATTTTCAGTTTTTATTTAGTTGAATTTTTGATTAATTTATACTATCGCAGCTACATAGCCTGACTATTATGTGATATCCTTGCACTGCTATTGTAGTTAGGTTTGGAATTAGGTGCATTAGACTAGATTGGGCTGGGCCTTCACAAAACCAAGTTAAAACTAAACCTGAACCCAAACCATATAATTGGGTTTGGGCTGGGTTGAACTGAGCCCGTGCCTCATTTAAATGGTTTTTTTTTTTGGAGTTTATAGGCTTTTTAAAAAAGCCTAACCCAGCCTAAACTTAAACTAAGTCCAACTCATTTTATTTATGGGTTTATAAATACTGGCCCAACCAAACCATTTTTGTGGGCCAGGTTGAACCCAGCCTGGGTAGCCTGACCGATTCTGGACTCTAATTGTAGTTGCAACACTTAATCATCAAAAATGAGGTTCTTGCACTGCACGTAGTAGCTATAGAGCATAAGTACAATATAAGGTTCTTGCATTGCTATCACATCCATGAATCCTAGTCACAATGTGAGATCCTTGCACTGCTATTGCAGTTATGATGTTTAATCACCAAACATGAGGTTTTTGCACTGCTTGCAGCAGCCATAGAGTCTAAAGTTCTTGCATTGCTATTACAGACATGGAGTTAATCATGACATAAAGTCCTTGTGCTGCTATTATAGTTGCAGAGTTTAAATACCAAACATAAGGTTTTTACTACCCATGACAGCCATTAGGGTTGGGTTCAGTTATGAATGCCTATGATTATTCATAGTCGATTTCCAAATACTAAAATGTTTTTTTCTTTTTGAGCTTTTTATTAAAGTTGTTAAGAATTAAATCCCATTTATCTTATCTTATAAGTAAAAGTAATAAACCTTTCTTTGAAACTTGAAATTTCAAAATTGATTAATCTTATAACCGGTGTCATAGTGAAAACAAGTATGTGATATAGTTAGTAAGAGGCATTGATTTAGAGCTTTAGATAGTAAGGATATTTGATGAATAAATAAATAACAATAATATATGATAGTATATAAATATAGTATATAAATATGCAACAACGAAAATATGTATGAATATCTTTAGAACAGAGTGAATGAATGTGATTTATGTGATTCATGTAATAATCAATTAGAAGTAGAGATAGTCAGTAGATATTTGAGATACCAAAGTAAAATAATTAATATATTATGGATGAATTAATTACACATTAATAAGTAGTATAAAATAATAGTTTATTATTAAGTTATATATAAACAATTAAATAAAGTATGTAATCAATTTAAGAGACAATAGTTGTATGATCAATATATGATATAATAATCAGAGTTAAATAATATATATAAGGATTGAAGCAAAAGTAATAATAGAAAAGTTAGTCAATTGAATATAAAAGATTGTGAATAGTAAAACAAACTTGCTACTTTCTTTAAGTGAATTATTCAAAATACATTAATACCTACTAATGCTTCTCACCTGAGTTAGATTATTTTGCTGACAAAAGTCACTAATTAATCTGGACATAAGAACCTGGAAAAATTACTATTAATCTCACTGATTGATTCAAGATTTAGAAGTTAAATAAGCATAGGCAAATTTGGTTAGAAATAAAGCATTGTATAGTTAACTCAAGATTGTATTTAGAATAATTAAATTACAGATACTGATAAAAAATAAGCAACAAAAAAAAACTTGCACTTTCACAACCCAGCAATATATATGTATACTGTTTTATTATAAGTCTCATTCTCCTTATGTATTGAGTCACGTTACGAGTATGTCTAAGGACTTAACAAAGCTGTTCTTCCATGATGAGGAAAAGGATAATGTTGATGGGTTCCTTTTTGATTACAGTAGATACACCAAGTTGAAGAACTGAGATGATGAAACAAAATGTGGAATGCTAGTAATGCACATACCTGATGAAACAAAAACATGAGTTAGAGAGTTAATAGGAGGTTATAACAAAGATTGGGACAAATTAGAAAAGGGTATAGTAAAAGTGATAAATAATGAAGATAATGAGAAATTAAAAATAAATTGTCTAAAAAATATTGAACAAGCTAAAAAAGAAATAATAAAAGGATATACTAGTAGATTTGAAGTATATAAGATGCAGTTAAAAATAAAACAAAAAAAGATAAGAAGTGAGATTAGTACTTAGATTGAATAAGAAGGGTATATAGAATAAAAGTAGAGAATTTCTATCCAGATAATTACACTAGAGCTAAAGGAACTGCTTTTCAAATTGAAAGTTTATATAAAAATAGGGAACAAAACAATAATAAATGTTCATTTATGTTGTGTGAAAGGTCCAATTTGAATTATTAAGATACTGATAACATTACTGCTTCACTTGAAGCTCTTACTGTAAATTGTGTCAAACAAGAAAACATTAATAATGATAAAATTAATAGAATTGAGTCAGATGTTAAAGAATTGATAAAGGTGGTTAATAACCTCACCAGCAACAATATATCTTCTGAACAATCCCAAAGCTCAAGTTTTACAAGACCTCAAAAAAATATCGATAACTGCTGATATTTTAATTGCCAGCAGGAGAGACATCTCATATAATTATCTGAGTTAAATAATTCAAAACCTACCTGTACAAAAAAAATAAAAGGAAAGATGAAAGAAGTAAAACTGTTAAAGTAAAAAGTGCGAATATTCAATATTTTGAGATAACTTCAAACTTAAATAACCCAGAAGTTGAATATTTAAAAATCGAAGTGGTTAAAAAAGAACCCATATTTGATGTAAGGAATTGGGATCTTTGAAAAAAAAAGCGTAATAACGAGAATGAAACTGGTAAAAGTGAGAGTAGGAAGAAAAAGGAAAAGTTTAATGAAATTAAGAATAACAATACTAAGTCCTGTACTATAAGCTCTGTAATATATATACCATTGTCTGAGTTAACTCAAGAACTCAATATTTTAAAGAAGATTACTAAGATGGAAATGACTTTGACATTGGAACAATTGTTTAAGTAGTCCCCAAAAGTGAGATCTAAAATATTAAGATCCTTGACACAAAAAAGAAAGAAAATGATATCACAATGATAGATATAAATATGAGTATTATATATGCAGTTTAGAAAATAAACATGAAGCAAATTGGTGATGTGTCAATGGGTGTGGTAACTGTCAATAGAGAAACAACTAAGGCACTAATTGATCCTGGATCCTAATTAAATTTGATATATGAAAAATACACAAAAGAAAGAGTTATTATAGAGGCCAGTTAGCAAAAAAGAAAGAATGGCTGATGATAGTATTAGTAGCTTCTTGGGTTATATATTGAATATAGAAGTTGAAACTGAGAAAATAATAGTTACTCAAGGATTTTATGTTATGAAAACTGCTAATTTTGATATATTACTTAGAATGCTATGGATTGCAGCAGCCAAATGTAATTTAAAATAGAAAAATAATTAGTATTAGTGTTCAATTGCTTTCAAGTATAAGGAAGTATTATTTGTTGCTACAACTGTATCTGAGAGTTGGATGAGCTGTTGAAGTAATGAGGAAGATAAATTTGGGGATAATGATAATAAAAAGAAAGAGATCAGCATGTTATTGATGTGAAGAGTTCAAGTAGAAAAATCTGAAATAGAAAAAATGAATATTAAGTATAAAGAAGCATTAGTCATAGCTAATAACAGTGCTCGATTAATTATGAACAAATTGTAGCCAATTGACAATAATCAACTTAAAGAAAATAAACATTATGGCCAGGTTATTTATTAGAGTTCTAACCAAGAAAATAAGGAGGGAGTTGTTAATACAGGTAGTCCAGAGTTAATTATGCATCTTAAATTAGAGAATAGTAACAAATTAAACATTAATAATAAAATTTCAAAAGAAAGTGAGAAGTATTTAATAAGTTAGTTAATAAATGAGGTACTAGAGATAGTGATGGAGATTCTACCAAATTACAATTTTCCTACTAGTATATACCGATAGGTAGTAGCTACCATTAGCTACTACTACTGGTAATATAGCAAACTTTTATTCTAATTAGCTAATTCTTCTTCTACCTATATATATATAGTGTGAAATACGTATGAGAGAAAAAATGATACTAGAAACTTGAATGAGGCCAATTCAAATTAATAACACTGTGCCATTTGAAGATCAGCTTTAAAAAATGGTGAAGTATAGTTTATTGAAAAAAGAGAAGGGACAATATGTATATTATTGTTTTTCTGTTAATAAGAAAAAGAGTGAGACAAGTCAGTTTAGAGTTGTAGGGAATATGAGACCCTTGAATAAATATATAGTAAAAGATGGTTATCTATTACCAATGATCCATGATATTCTTGAATCAGCGGTAGGACATGATTAGTATTTAGCAGTTGATGTATACAAGGGATATTGGCAAATCCAAATCCAAAAGGAGGATAGAAATAAGATTGCTGTCGCTACCTCAATTGGACTTTTAAAATATACAGTTATATGTATAGAGTTAAAGAATGCCAGTGAGACGTTTCAACTTCTTATAGACATTGTATTGGAAGAAGATAAATGGCATAACATTATCACAGCATATCAGGATAATATAGGGTTGTAGACGGATAGTGCAATAGAAGATCATACAGAATTATTTATAAAATTAACATGAAGATTTAAAGAAGTTGGATTAGCTTTTGTGGCAAAAAAGTGTCATTTGCTTTATAATGAGTTGAACATATACAGATTTGTTGTTAGTAAATCAGGTTTAAAAGTCAATCCCAATTGTATTAAAAGAATAGCTGAGTGGAAAATGCTCACCTGTCTTACCAAGGTATAATCATTTCTTAGTATCATAAACTATTACTGTCATTTTGTTAAAAATTTTAGTAAGATGGCAAAGCCACTTACTGATCTTATGAAACAAAATATGGGTATTGTTGGAATATTGAACAAGAGCAAGTGTTTCAAAGTCTAAAGAGATCACTGCTAAATGATGTTATACTAAAGACACCCAATTGGAAAAAAGCAAGAATTGGGGAATGACCATACCAAATGTACACAGACACTTGTGATATTTCTTTAGATGTGGTTTTAGAACAAAAGGATGATGATAAGTGAATGTGGCCTGTATTATTTGAGTTACAAAGTTGAATGAACATGAAATCAATTATACTGTAAAGGAAAAAAGTGTCTAGGAATTGTTTTCGGGTATAATTTGAATGAACGCTATGTAGAAAGAACTATCTTTGATATATGGGTAGACTATTATGCATTGAAATAGCTGTTTAATAAAGCAATTCTCAAAGGATGTCTGATGAGATAGGTTTTAGTCTTACAAACCTTTGACTTTTGTGTTTATTATAAACTGGGTAAATCACATTGTAATACAGATGAAATTTCTAGATATCTGAATCCCCCAGCACAACAATACTCGACAGATGAAGAGTATGTGAAAATTTATTGATAAGTGTGAACACAGAAAGTCAAAAGTTATGTAATTTAAAAGCAATAATATTATACCTGAAGATATTTGTTTGGCCAACTTACATAACAAAGAAAAATCTCAGATATTTAAATTCCAAATTAAGATGATATTGTCTTTTAAATAATTATTTGTATTCTAGAGCTAGAATAGTAAACCTCTGAAGTGTATTATCTTTGATATTAAGGAAAATAAGAAAATAGTAATAGCAAATTATAAGGGACTTATTGGTGAGGATGATTATTACAGCATTAATAGCTGTGTAATGAAAATTCTAATAAACTATGAATAGGCATTAGATAATTTATATAAGGATGTAAGGAGTTATGTAATGTTTTGTATAGTTTGTCAAAAATATGAATTTAAAGTACTAAAGAACCTATACATATTGTAGCAACAAGCTGGATATTCCACAAACTGTTCATAGATTGTATAGGACCAATACAGCATACAAGTACTAGCCATGAGTATACAGTAATTGAGTAGAAGATTTAACTGGTTTTATAGAAGCTTAGGTATTCAAAAAGAAAAATGCAAAGAATATTGCCTAATTTATTTGGGATGATGTTATCATCTGACATGAATATTTTGCAGCACTCATATCTGATAAAGGCACTGAATTCAAGAATAGTGTGATAAATGAACTTACTACAAGATTGAGTGTTGACCAAAAATTTGTAGCTAGTTATCACCTAGAAGCCAATGGCAAAGCAGAAAGAAACATTCAAAACCTCACCAAGGTTCTGTGAAAGATATGTGCAAAAAAACAGAATCGTTGGCATGAATATTTACAAGATATTATTTGGGCTATAAATGTGATGGTTGAAGAATTAGATTACTTACTGTTCAGACTAGTTTATGGAAGAGATACAGTTTCTTCACTTGAACTGACTATAGAAACGTACCAAATATTTATACTGAAAGACTCTTGGACTACTAAGAAATTATTGGAGTTTAGAACCTTGCAAATGAAGAATCTTAGTTACGAACAAAAGAAATACAAATTAATTGTAATGAATTAAGAGAAAAATAGAAATACTTCTATGACTGACATTGTAGTTCAAAAGAAAGGGCCAGAGTTGAGAATTTGGTTTTAGTATACAATTCCACATTGAATACATCATTATTATAAAAGCTCAACTATCAATAGCTGGGACCATACAAAGTGTATAGAATTGGAAATCATGGGCAATTCTATCTTTCTAAGTTAGATAAAACTGAGCTAAAAGATTCTATTGCTCAAAATAAAATTAAAAAGTTGTGAACTTCAGAGAATGAAGCTTGTGAACTTAAGACAAAGGATAGTGATCTTGAGGACAAAGGTTATAGGAAATCTAGCTTGTATTATAGTAAAAACAAGTAAGCGATATACTTAGTAAGAGGCATTAATTTAGAGCTTTAGATAGTAAGAATATTTAATAAATAAATAAATAACAATAATATATAATAGTATATAAATATAGTATATAAATATGCAACAACAAAAATATATATGAATATCTTTGGAACAGAGTGAATAAATGTAATTCACATAATTCACATAATGATTAATTGAAAGTAGAAATAGTTGGTAGATATTTGAAATACCAAAATAAGATAATTAATATATCATAGATGAATTAATTATGCATTGATAAGTGGTATGAAATGGTTTATAATTAAGTTATGCATGAACAATTGAATAAAGTATGTAATCAATTTAAAAGACAATGGTTGTATAATCAATATATGATATAATGATCAGAGTTAAATTATGTAATAATAGAAAAGTTAGTTAATTGAATATAAAAAATCATGAATAGTAAAACAAATTTGCTACTTTCCTTAAGTAAATTATTCAAAATACATTAATACCTGCTAGTGCTTCCCCACCTGAGTTAGGTTATTTTGCTAACAAAAGTTACTAATTAACTTGCAACGCTAGTTATTAATCGGCTATAACATTAACAAAATTTATAATTTTAGTTAGGGTTGTAAACTTATAGTAAGTTTAATTTATTAATATAATGTAAGTTATAGTCATGTAACTTACACATAAGTATGTAAGTTAAATAATATATATAATAATTATATAAATATATATAACAAAAATATTCAAAATATAATATATACCGTAAAGTCCCAAAAATAAGCAACCCCCAAGACTAGTTTTTTTGAGGTTACTTATTTTTAGGACTTTACAGTAATTATATTTGACTTTTACTAAAATGCATCTATAGTGTTTTACATCTATATATATATTATTCCAAAACAGGCCAATTATCGGTACAAGATATTCTAAGTGAAAATGTTTAATATTTCTAAAAAATCTTCGAAAACCCTAACTCTAACTATAAATACTAAT